TTTTGGAGAGAGCACATTTTTGCTTCTCTTCAGGAGCTATGCGGGGTCCTGCCCCCTTCTGTCCATCAGGCGGCGGGCCCGGCAGACTGTGCTTGTTTCCCACACTCAGAGACGTGGCTCCAGCTTTCAAGAGAGAACGGGACGGATGCGCTGCCTGGGGCTGCCATCACTGTGCCTACTTCTGTCCCTCCTGGTGTTACACATTTTAAGACCCTCTCTTTTTTAAAAACAAGTTTGGGTCACATTATCTGGCCATAAATCTGCCAAAATCGGACATTGTTTTCCCAGCAGATGTCTTGGGTATAGATGTCATGGGGACGTGCCTCTGAATTTCACAAGCAGAGCAATTTGAGGAATACACCAGGACTTTTGAATTCTAGGATCAGGCCTTCTCTTCTTTCTGGCTTCTAAAATCATTTGAGCTCTGCTCTCTTGCACCCATCCAGGTTTTTTCTTTTTTCTTCTTGTCACACAGGGCACCAAAGTCCTAACTCAAAACAGACTGGTACTATCTTCCCAAGTGCTTGGTCTAGGAGGACTCTGAAACTGGTGTGCTTCATGAGAAAAGTGCCTGCCTAAAGATTAGGTTTCTAGTTTCAAGGATGAAGCAAGAGTGAATTCCCTTTCTTTTAAATTCCCAAGCCATTCCACAGAGAACCCCGCCCCAGATGTAAGGATCTGGAAATTACAGCCTCTCACCACTACATGTGGGCACCGGGGCTGAGACATTCGCCCTGGGGAGGGCATCCAAGCCGTCCCCTCAAGTGCCCCGGCATCTGACCTATCACCACCACTTGGGGAGGGGGACGCCCAGCAGTCCCTCTTCCCCTAGGAGCAGCTTGGCCTAGGAGAGTGCCTCGTGTTCCAGGTCACCCTAGGAAGGGAGCCATGGGGCTCTCTTTGAAACAGGGCTAACTAGTAGCCACGTGCTCAGGGACCGAGCTGTCCATGCAAAAGAACCCCCCAGGCCTTTTAAATTACATTGCTAAAAGCCAGTCATCCACTTACATTTTAAACAGATCGTTTGCACCTAATTTGAAACTACTACATTATGATCAAGTTACATTGGCTTCCACCTATGACCTGTACTTGTAAAGCAGTGGATGCTGAGGAGCTTGTGGTACCCCCAAAGAGTTTTCCCAGGGACCCCTCCCATATGGTGGCCAGTGAACAGCATTTGCTACAGCTCTAGTGTTACATGCTGTCTTGCACCTTGTATGTGGTTGCTTCTGGAATGCTTTCTTATCTCTGCTTCTCTCTCCACTCCAGGGCAAGCCCCACTTTCCCCATAAAGCTCCTTTGACCTTTCCTGTCCTCAGCACTTCCGATGTTGGTACAAGTCCAGTTAGCTTTGTTATATATTACAAATTTATTCTTGTTGTCAGAACACACTGTTTTAGTAATGCTAGGTAATAGTGGTTAATTAAGCATGTCTTATCCGAAAGAAATTTCTGTCCCTGGACTCAGAGTACTCAATCACAAACATAAGGATTCCACATCAGGAAAGAGACATCTCCCACTAACTGCACAAGGCCTGACTTGTAGGCACTGAGTTCCGCCTGTCCTCCCGTCTCCCATCAGCCTCAGCGCCCTCTCCTGAGGTTGGCCAGGACTCCCACTGGGGAGCTGGAGGGTTGGCTGTAATGCTGCCCCACGCTGTGCAGAGAATTTCTTTGTGACTCTTCCTCTCTCAGGTGATCTCAGTGAAAAGTAACCTTCAGTTTTACACCATAGGCCAAATTGTGAAGTCTTTGGTCATTAGTGTAAATAAATAAATAAATACATACATACGTAAAAGCCTTTGTGTTTGGAAAGCCTTTGTGTGTTGTCAAATGCTGTTGGGTGACTGTTAGGTGGTGATCTCTTTGTTTTTGTCAATGTAAGAATGTCCAAACCTGTAGAGACTTTTTAGAAGAATTTATTTGAGCCAAAATGATGAAAATTGCCAGGAAGCAAGATCCCAAATGTTCCAGAGAAGAACATCTTTGCCGTTTCTTTTACACAGTTAGAATTAAGGAGGGAACGAAGAAAGATTACATGAAGTGGGAGAAAGCAAGGTACAAAATAGTTAAGAAGATTACGTGCTCTCTCGAGGGTGGTTAGCCTTCAAATTGTCTGGAAAAGAGGATTACTTCTGGCATTTCATGATCTGCCCAGGGGGGAATTTATGATCGGTTCACTCTGTGAGGCTACTTTCTGTTAGATTTATTATAGCACCCCCTTTTTGTCCACATTATTTTTAAAGGTTTTATTTATTTATTTGTCTTTAGAGAGAGGGGAAGGGAGGGAGAAAGAGAGGGAGAGAAACATCGATGTGGGAGAGAAACACGGATTAGTTGCCTCTCACACGTACCCCAACCAGGGTCTGAACCCCCAACCCAGGCACGTACCCGGACTAAGTATCGAACGTGCCCCAACCAGGGTCCGAACCCCTAACCCAGGCATGTGCCCGGACTAAGTATCGAACTGGTGACCTTTCATGTTGTGGGCCAGTGCCCAACCATCTGAGCCACAATGGTCAGGGCTTTTTGTCCACATTTTGAAGCTGCGGTCCTAATGTACTGGCACTATTTCGTAATTGGAAGAATAAGAGAGAAAATGTGTCTTTGTGTTACCTCTGGGTGGAAAGGATTTCACTCATCCTCCCGATAGTCTTCCTGGGGCCAGACTTAAAGGAGCCTTCCCCCTGCCCCAACTTTTTAAATGGTAGCCTAAATTTTAAAATAAAAACAAACAAAACCACACTGTGTGGCCAAACAAAACATGTGGTTGCAAGTTTGACCTTTAGATTGAGGTATTCACATGATCATTAGATGCTTCTATTGTTTGATGATTGCAAGATGGTTCTGTTGTTTGGTAAAGAACTATAGATGTTATCTTCAAAAGCACATGGATGGTTTAAAGCCACATTGGTTTAAAAACATCCTGAACGGTCCTGCTATGGTTCAGTCTGTTCTCTTTAACAATGTAAGTCTCCCCATCACGGTGCCTTACCGATGGTAAGAGCGCAAGAAGACAAGGTTCTTGGTTTCTTCTTATACACGACTTTGGCTGGTGGTAGTTTTGATTATTCTGATTCCATGTGGTCCTGTAGTTCCAGTCTCAGTGCTGAGCAGTCTGACCTCTGAGCTTCAATTCCAGATTCCTGGGACAGAGAATTGAGTGGGTTCCAATTGGATCAGGTCGATGCCCGCCCCCTCCCCAACTCCCCATTCAGTCAGCTGTGCTTAGGTAAGAAGGATGGTGGCATATAAGGCTTCCCCTTCTAGCCTACAGATGGCAAGTGAGGAGTGTGGCAGGTGCACCAAAAAGGATGTGTAGACTGGGAAGTGGTGGTAGGGATCTCTTGTTACATCTTTGGATTTCTTCCCCAACAGAGACAAACAGTAGCTTCTTTTTCACTCCTATATTTTTGTCATTTCCAGTTGAGATGTACAGAGCATCCAGGTAGCTCCATTACCTGCCTCTAGTGTAGACAAGTCAAGTTTGTTTTCTCTAAGGTACTACTTACGTTCCCTGGAGCTAAGTTGGATACAGGCACTCCAGGACTCAGCTGCTTCTCAGTCAGTTATTTCCAGCAGGTTCTGCCTCACCCTGCAGAAAGGCCCAGTGTCTACGGAGCACGTCCTGGTCCGGCTGGGCTGCCTCGGGGGTGCTGCTAGAGGAGAGGTGCAAAACCAGAATGTCAAAGTGTCAAGGTGTTGGGCATGTTGAGGAAGCGCTTCCTTAAACAGTTGTGTGAGGCCGCAAGCAACAGTTTAAAGGACGTGGCAATGGCACAGTTTGGTCCAGGGGTCAGGTGACCCCATCCTTCTTGCCAAATGTGGCCCGCTGCTTGCTTTTGTAAGCGGTACCCCTTTGCTTGCTCACTGTCTGCTGCTGTTCGTTGCCCTGCCGCATCAGAGCAGAGGAGCTGCCGCATCAGAGCAGAGGAGCTGCCGCAGGAACTGTCCGCCCCTCTGCAGAAACGTTTGCCAGCCCCTGTTCTAGTGCGTTTCCCTAAGTGTCTCCTGAGGTGGAGAGCAACACTTAGGATGATGTGAAGTTCTTGGGGGGAAAGGAGGTATTTTAGAAAACTACCTAGGTAAGTGCTGGGTAATCCAAAATAGGAGATGTTCTTTGTTGTTTTACCCAACTCAATGATCGAGTGGATTGCTGGTGTCCCCGTGGGATTTTTAGTTGAGGTAAGCCCCTCAGCAGTTCCTGCACTTGGGTTTCTGAGTGTATCCATTGCAGGTGACTGCTTCCTGCCCAAATAATCTGACTAGATTTTTAACCCACCAGTTTAGTTTTTCTTTTGAGCAAGCCTCTCTCTTATAGCTTTATTTTATTACTTTATAAAAGTAGTACAAGTTGATGATTTAAACATTCGGAAGATGCCCAGTGGTGCACAGAAGGAAAATAAAAATTTCCCATAATCCTGTCACTGGAGTCCTCTTTCAGCTATGGATTTAGAGCTAATTAACACTAGTTACTAGGTATTAATAATCTTTTCACAAAGTTAGAAGTGTATACCTACAGTTTAAATGTTTTTAAAAGCTCGTGTATATTGAACCTTCTTATCAGTAAATCTTTTTAACGTTAATTTTTATTATTGCACAGTATTTTCACATGTGTATTCCGTATGTACTTAACTCCTATTGCTGTCTGTTTTGGTTGTTTCCAATTATGTATTCACTGTTCAAAAAGGACATGTTTCTCTGATTGTTTCCTTGGGATAAATTCCTTGGATTATATTTGCTGGCTCAAAAAGTATGAGCATTTATTTTTAAGGCTTTCAGCAGACACTGCCAAATTACCCTCCAGATCTTGCCAGTGTATACCCACCAGAAGGGTATGAAAGCATCTGGATTTTCGTAGTAAATGGAAGGGTTACTGTATTTTTATTTGAAAGGCTTTGATAGGTTGACTGTTGGTTTAGGTGACTTTAACCACAGCCACTGCTTGCTTGGATGCACATGCTGAGTGACTGTGTTCCTTTGGCTTCTTTTTCCTTGTAGGCTCCCCCGCCCAAACCACCCCGCCGGCAAGGAGGCTGGGCAGACGACTGCATGAAGGCGTCCAAGTGAGTGCCAGCAGCTCACGGGAGGGGAACGCGGGCAGGGTGGGTTTGGGCGTTCTTCTCCGGTGTTCTTTTATTTTTTTGCAGCAGCTTTTTTGAGATATACTCATATACCTTATAATTCACTCATTTAAAATGTATAATTCAGTTGTTCTTAGTCTAGTCACAGAGTTGTAGTATTACCACCACATTTTTCTGACACCTCTCCCACCAAACCCAAGTCTCCCCTGCCCTAGGTAGCCACCAATCTGCTTTCTGTCTTTATGATTTCCCTATTCTGGACATGTCATGTAAATGGAATCATACACGATGTGGTTGATGTTTTTGTGACTGGCTTCTTTCACTTGGCATAATGTTATCAGAGTCATCCATATTGTAGCATCGCGTTGTTCTTGGTGTAATTTTCTAAACAGGTGGAATTGCCTGTTAGTAACTGCTAGATTACAACGGACTTTGGTCTTTAATTCTTTGCACTGACTTTTAGGTGAAAAGTAAACCAAAAAAGTATTTACTACTACAGTGGGCTGGCCAACTATCTAGTTTAACAACTTAATATATATTCAGGAAGGGAATTTCTTTTTCTCAAGGAATACATATTATTCTTGTTCAGAATTTCCTTCAGCAGTTGTTGCCTTCAAAATAGCACTATCAAAAATATTTTTTCCAGTTCTTTTCCCCATCCCCCTGCCTTCCTCTCCCCACCTCTGAAAACACACACACACTTTTCCCCCTGAATCACTTGAAAACAAGTTGCAGTCGTCATGACATTCGGCCTCTAGAGACCGCAGCGTGCATTTCTGCAGATGGAGGACATCCTCCAAATAATCACAGTGTCATTATCACATCGCAGAAACTTCATAATGACTTAATATCTAGTTTAAACTTTCCCAGTTGTCCCCAAAAGGTCTTAGAATAGTTTCAGGATCCAATCAGGGTTCACACATTGTATTTGGTAGTTCAGACTCTTTATAGTCTCGATCTAAAATAACTCCAAACCCCCGACCATCTCTACCCAAAACAGTTCCTTCTTTTTTTTTTTTTTGGAAGAGCCTAGGCCAGTTTTCTTGTTGAATATCTGACATTCTCCATTTTTCTGGTTAATTCCTCATGATTACATTCAAGTTAATGATTTTTTGGCAAGAACAGGTGATAATGTATACTTTTATTGTATCAAATGGTATAGAAAGATATATTCAGAAACATCTTGTTCCCATCTTTATCCCCTCCACTTCATTCCCATCCCTCCCTTATGGGTAGCTTCTTTATTCATTTTGGGTTTATCCTTTCTCTACTACTTTTTATAAAAAATGAGCATGCATATATAAGTTTAAAAATTTATCCTTCTTTGTTTCCATATATTTACATTCAGCAAACTGTGGCCCACAGGCCAGCTGCCTGTTGTTCTAGATCATTTTATTGGAATAAGACCATACCCTAAATCTAACTCTTAAAACTTAGATTTCTGACTCATGTGGAATTAATTTCAGTGTATGTTAAGAGGTATGGATCTAGTTTTATCTTTTTCTAAATGGCTATTATCCCAACATCATTTATTTAAAAATCCATCTTTCCCAGTGAATTTAGAAGCCACCTTTACCATATTCTACATTTGTTTATGTACCAAAGTCTACTTTACATTTGTTATTCTGTTTCATTCATCTTTTTATCCATTCATATGCTGTTAGGTACCACACTATTTTCTTTACTCTACATAACACTACTTTTTGAATTTATTCATTTATTTTTATATATTTATTTGAGAGAAAAAGAGAGAAATAGTGCTTCATTGTTCCACTTATTTATACATTCATTGGTTGATTCTTGTATGTGCTCTGACCAGGGATTGAACCCTCAACCTTGGCATAATATCAGGACAGTGCTCTAACCAGGATGAGCCACCTGGCTTGAATCAACATGACACTACTTTTTAGAATTAACCAAGAACAAGAAGGTGACTTTGAAATGTACGTCTCACATACTACCAATGAGAGTCTTAAAGAGGAGCTCCATTTTTCTAAGTTATTACGGGATTTTAGTGCTTTTAATATCTGGAATTTATTTTGAAATATGAAAATGAGACAAATCCTGTATCTTCTTCTCAGAGAACTAAAGAGGATCTCAAGAGTTTATTCCTCAATGAATATATTAAAGGTTTTTCCAGATGAAATCAGTTTCCTCTTGGAGAGAGATGCTTTTCCATTTCATGTGTTATTTTTCAAGGGATTCACTTGCTTGGCTCCTCAGTCTGTGGCCTAGTCCTGACCCCTCTAAATGTTGGCGTACCCAGGGCTCATCCTTGAACTTCCTCTCTTCTCTGTTAACACTCATTCTTGGCGTGATCTCAACTCAGTCTCAGGAGTTTAACTATCATTTACACACTGATGACTCCAGAATTTATATCTCTAGCGCAGGCCTCCTCACAAACGTCCAGCTGTCCACGTGACGTTTCCACTTGAATACGCGACTCAGTCCTAACACATCCAGGTCGGTCCTCTTCATTGCCACCCCTTCCATTCTGTCCCCTGACCTGTGCCTCGCAAAGTCTGTGCCAGGTCTCTGTAAATGGCCGCCCGTCTCCCCTGTTACTCAGACCATAAACCTGGGAACCACCCTGCAACCCTGTCTCCATCTCCTCCACTCCTGCCCGTTCTGTCAGCGCTGCGTGTTAAGTGTGCGGTTGAAGTACATCTGCTGTCTGCGCTGCCGCTGCCCAGCTACAGCCACCGCCATTTCTAGCATCGCCTCGAGTGAGAACCTCCTGTCACCCTTTCACCCTTGGGTCCCTCGGTCTTATGTCCACAGAGCAGGGAGACCTTTTTAAAACAGGTGAGGTCATTTGACTTGTCTGCGCAGAACCTTCCATTGGCATTCTCCTGCCAGTTCAGCCAAACCCCGGAGTCCTCACCGTGGCCCACATGGCTCCGTCTGACCTCCGTGTATGTAAAGTAGCACCCTCGTCTACTCTGTGTTCTCCGTCTCCTGTTTTGTGCACCACCACTGGACATATGTGGATACACACGTATGTGCACATACATATATTGTCTTTTTCTCTCTACTGTAATGTAAGCTCCATGAGTGGCGATACAGTCTTATTTCCATACTTCCAGTACTTCCAATAGTGCCAGTCCATAATAAGCACTCAGTGACTATTTACTGAACAAATGAATGATGAGGTCAGTATTTTTGATTGGTCCCTTTGCTCTCGGTGGGAAGCAGAGCTCTGGAAGGCTGGCAGACCTGTTGGGAAGGTTACACTTTCTACGCAGGGTGACAAGAGCCTGCTCTGGGGCAGTAGTATGAGCCTGGACAGGAGAGGAGATGTGGGGACACTCTGGAGGTAGAGTAAATAGGAGTGCCATTGACTGCATGCGGGACAGAGGAAGGGGTTAAAGGTCACGGCAAGGTGCCTCGCTTCGGTGACTGGCCAGGTAGTGCCGTCAGATGTCAGATAGGGAGTGCGGGAGGAGAGACCTGATTTCAGGGCAGGTGGTCGGCTAGCGGACAGTTTCCACAGTTTGGGGGTCTAGAAGAGAGGTCAAAGAGGAGGTGCCACGTGCATCATCTGCAGAGATAGAAGAAAATGAGGTCAGAGCCTTGGATTTGGCTACTTGGAGGTGACTAGGGGCATTTAAGAAAGTGGTTACAGTGATTTACATTGGGGCAGAAGCCAGATTACAGTGAGCTTAAAGAAGTGGGACGTGAGGAAGTGGGATTAGTAAGAGAAGCTACTGCTCTGAGAAGCAGAGGAAAGGGACAGTGTTTGGAAGGGGAAGCCTGTGTTGTGAATCGCGTGTGTAATACCTGGGGAAAGAGCGAGTCCGGATGAAACAGGGCAGACTTGAAGGAGTGGGATCCTGGAGAAGGGACAGGGTCAAGACCTTCTGAGAGAGACGAGCTAACCTTGGACAGGAGGAGGTGGGGACATTTTTCCTCTAGGACAGGAGAAAGCTGGTTAGTTATCAGGGGAGTAGGGAATCGGGGACATTTCCTTTTGGATTGGCCTCTTTTTTTTTTTCTTTTTTGAAGTAGGAAGGCAGGTTGACTGTTGAGCTTGTTGGAGCAAAGGCAAGTTGGCATCTGAGGGCAAGTAGAACGGATTTGAAACAGAAAGAGGAAGGGAGGCCCGTCCGGGTGGGAGAGGCGATGGCTGGGCTCCCTGATGATCTGCCCCATGAAGGCCGGGCCACACGCGCCCCTGCCATCTGCAGGGCGTTCTGGGGAGTCCAGAGTGTCGGTGTGCCCCCTGCCCTGGAAGAGCTTGGACAGTTGGGGGGATCGGGCATTTTCATTCACAAAAATCAGGAAGGCAGAAGGAGCCCAGTGGAGTGGAAACACTGGCGCTGTGAGCTCCGGGGAGAGTAACCACAGTGGCCAGGGAGTCCCTTGCCAAAACGATGGGGATCAAGCTGGGTGAACTCTGATGGCCAAGGAGGATCGGGAGGACAGCATTTTGGTTCAGGGACTGGTGTAGGCATGAGTGTTGGGGGAGTAGTAACCTTATTGTCGGTCTGCTTAGAGCAGAGGACTCACACGGAAAAAGAGCGTACTCACCTTCAGTTCTTGCGGGATGGTAATAATAATGGTGCTATGTTGGGCACCTGTCCCAGTCGGCTTGGGCCGCTGCAACAGAATGCCACAGCCTGGGAGGTTAAACACATTTACTTCTCGCAGTCCTGGAGGCTGGAAGCCGAGGTCAGGGTGCCAGCCCAGCCGGGCACGGGGTGAGCGCCCTCTCCACAGGCGTGTCCTCACATCTCCGCCTTTGGTGCGCGCACACACACGCAGGGAGAGCAATCTCGTGTGTCTTCCTCGTTTAAGAAGGGCACTAGTTCCATCACAGGGCTCCACCCTCGTGACCTGCCTAACCCAGATCAGCATCCAAAGGTCCCACCTCCAAACGCCATCACACTGGGGGTTAGGGCTTCCATGTGGGAATGTGGGGGGAGCACAGACGCTCAGTTCACAGCTGCGCCTTATGTGTGCACTACACAGACTCTGGCGGG